GGAGTGCCGGCAGAAGTGAAAACTTCAATATTAACGTTGTGTTTAATTATAAGTATAAAAGTAGGGGAATGTTGTCAGGGTTGGGCCATTGTCAGGCTTGGGCCATCTCAATATTTCGAATATTCGTTCTAGTACCTTCTGTTTGTGGGTGTCAAGAAACTTCTATCGTTCACTCGAAACTTTCCAAGTGACTACTTATTTCGGGATTTCATTTTTCTACGTGTCGTTGTTCTTTGAAAAAAAAGTGCTCGAAAAAGTTTTTTTAACCTGGCCGAAAAGGTGGAATAACACAAGATTACAACATGTCATCCGCAAAGTGAACATAAAAATACGTTATATAGTTGTTATATTACAAAATACTAAGATATAGTTTCATTGATAGATATAGGTTGGCTATATCATACCATAATAGATTAATACCGCATGTCGTCAGGGTTGGGCCACTTGTGTAGTCAGGCTTGGGCCATCATAATTTTTACATTTTATTCGTGTATTTTCGATTTTTGTTGTAATATTTAAGTTTTTTGTAGCAAAAATATGCAAAATAAATTAAATAGATTTCCTTAAAAAAATATTTTGATGGATTGAAAGAAGATGAATCATTTTTATCTTTTTCTTTAGTATTTCTCGCTACAAACGAAAAACAACTCTGAATAATTTGATAATTTTACTGTAAAATACCAAATAATTAAATAAATGAACAAAATAATGTCTGATTTACCTGAATTCAATTTTATTCCACCACGTTACGATATTGTCAACGATTTTCTGAAGGTGGCCCAACCCTGACTACATGGCCCAACGCTGACTACATTTTTTTTTTTTTTCAAACGCCTATAACTTTTTTTGTTTTTGTTTTTTTATTCTCTATTTTTGGTGAACACTTGCTATTGCTTGTACCTTTCCAAAAATGTATAAACTTATTCTGAATTGTCATTCGTTCAGAACTTATGGACATAGGTCAAAATATGGCCCAACCCTGACAACATTCCCCTACTATCATTTATGAGAGAGGTAGAATACAATGTTTATTTATTGCGCTATCGTACACAAATATGACAATTTATATGTTGTTATTTATAATATTATATCATTATTTATATATTACATTAAATTTTATCTCTCAGAAAAATCAACTTCCATCCATAATTTCGACGACTTTTACACCATCGTTATTATCAGAATCATCATCGCAAATTTTTACAACTGATACAATCAAACAGTTTTGATTCGAACCTATTTAAGTGTAAGTACAAGGTAGTCTCGTCGGCTTTTTTTTCCCCCTATTGGGCACTACAATGAGTGCGAGTGAGAGGGTGTTTTCCCGTAAGTGCGAAAGAAACAGAAGAAGATGATGTCGTTTTACCCTTATGCTGTGCACGGGTTTTAAAAAAGACTGTTATATGACCATAAGTATTAATTTTTCCGAAATTTTTGGGGGGGGGGTGAAAGGGGGCAATTTGCCCCGGGCCCGGGCTTATGGGGGCCCCGCGCGATATGATATATGATATATATGATGATATGTAAGGATTGACAATCTCCCAAAATTGAATTTTTAGCCCGGGCCCCAGACTACCTCTGTGCGCCCCTGCAAGGTAGTCTCGACCATGGTACAATTATATGGTCTCAACCATGGTAGAATTATACAAGGTAGTCTCGTCGGCTGCAAAATCGTTCGGGTTTTTTCCCCCTATCGACCCGAACGCTCGGGTTTTCGTAGGAAAACACTCTTTCTCTCGCTCTAATTGTAGTGTCGATAGGGGAGTGACGAGCCGACGAGACTACCTTGTATAATTGTACCATGACTCAGGCGCGGTAGAAAGAGTGGGAGATACTAGTTCCTCTCCCTTTCCCACGATCTTACGCTTTTTCGATCAGCATAACGGGACTCTGACGCGAGTTTGAAAGTTTTTGCCCATACAAAAAAGTGCTCAGCGCCGCTAAAGAAGTTTTCACTTCAAAAAAAGATGTAGAAAAAAGAGACTTCTCCGTGAACAACGGAAAATATGAATTCATCAGACTTTTATTCGAGTTAAAAAACACACCATGTATGTCATTTTAAAGGTGGTGCCAATACCTTTCAAACGATATACAGCATTGCCAGATACGATTATTACTTCACAAGCCAAGCGCTAAATTTGAATGTAAAAACCGGTATGGCATTACCAAACAACCTAATAAAAAAAAAAAACTACAACCACAATACGTTGTCGCCAAATTCTCTAACAGAAAGTCACCTTACTTTTTGACACACCTCGTTTAATTTTTTTTATTATCATCACTATATAAGTAAAATTTTTGTAAACTAGTCTCTCAGTTAAAAAAAATCACTGGTAGCACTCCGGGAGTGCCGGCAGAAGTGAAAACTTCAATATTAACGTGTGTTTAATTATAAGTATAAAAGTACTATCATTTATGAGAGAGGTAGAATACAATGTTTATTTATTGCGCTATCGTACACAAATATGACAATTTATCAGTTATTATTCAGAATCATCATCGCAAATTTTTACAACTGATACAATTGGTTTATGATAACTGAAATAAGAAACAAACAGTTTTGATTCGAACCTATTTAAGTGAAAGTACAAGGTAGTCTCGTCGGCTTTTTTTTCCCCTATTGGGCACTACAATGAGTGCGAGTGAGAGGGTGTTTTCCCGTAAGTGCGAAAGAAACAGAAGAAGATGATGTCGTTTTACCCTTATGCTGTGCACGGGGTTTAAAAAGGACTGTTATGTTACCATGAGTATTAATTTTTCCGAAATTTTTGGTTTTTTCACAAAGCTGCCCTTCAGGACTCGCTCCCATATTGTTCACATTTCAAAATATTTTTCTGCAATATTACATGTTACGCCTTGTATGTGCTTGCTGCAATAATTGCAACAAGTATTTTTCACAAGCACACAAGGGTTAACGTTTTGAGAAAAAATCGCCCGCAGACAACCTCTCACTTCGAAATCCCGAGCGCACTGAACCATAGGGGGAAAAAACCCGAGCGATTTGCAGCCGACGAGACCATGGTAGAATTATACAAGGTAGTCTCGTCGGGTGCAAAATCGTTCGGGTTTTTTTCCCCTATGGTTCAGTGCGCTCGGGATTTCGAAGTGAGAGGTCGTACGCGGACGATTTTTTCTCAAAACGTTAACCCTTGTGTGCTTATGAAAATACTTGTTGCAATTATTGCAGCAAGCACATACAAGGCGTAACATGTAATATTGCAGAAAAATATTTTGAAATGTGAGCAATATGGGAGCGAGTCCTAAAGGGCAGCTTTGGGTAAAAACCAAAAATTACGGAACAATTAATACTCATTGTCATATAACAGTCCTTTTTAAACCCCATGCACAGCATAAGGGTTTTACGACATCATCTTCTTCTGTTTCTTTCGCACTTACGGGAAAACACCCTCTCACTCGCACTTATTGTAGTGACCAATAGGGGGAAAAAAAGCCGACGAGACTACCTTGTACTTATTATACCATGGACGAGACTACCTTGTATAATTGTACCATGGATTGTACCATGATACAATTATACAAGGTAGTCCACTCGGCAAAATCCATAGTCCCCTATTTTTAGCTTTGACAAGTAAGTGTGAGTGAAACGGCTACATACAAGCAGACACGCACAAGGAAAATAAGGGACCAAACCCGAACGACTTCGGCAAGCCGAGTGGACTACCTTGTATAATTGTATCATGGATTGTACCATGACTTAGGCACGGTAGAAAGAGTGGGAGATACTAGTTCCTCACCCTTCCCTCGATCTTACGCTTTTTCGATCAGCATAACGGGACCCTGACGCGAGTTTGAATGTTTTTACCCTGCTCAGCGCCGCTAAAGAAGTTTTCACTTCAAAAAAACTTTGGAAATCACTTGAAAGCGTATTCTACCCGACCTACGATATCGCAGTTAAGCGAAACATCAGCTTCAGAAGCGGTTTCCCAACACAATATTGAAGCCGCGTAGGACAAGCGCATGCCACAAGAACCTCGAGCATATTTTGAAACCAGCTTTACAACACCGAAGGTTCCGCAAAACTAAAAGAGTCGCCGTGTTTCGGTCGTTGCACAGCAAAAGGGTATTATAATTTGAAGTGAAGGAGACATCTCAGACCTCATAAAGTATAGATATTCTTGATCAGCATCTAGATCTGAATCGAAATACGTCTGTCCGTTTCTGCGCAAACTAGTCTCTCAGTTTTAAAGCTATCTTGCTGAAACTTTACCAAAAGGTGTATAGTTATTGCACGCAGTATATAAGTCGAAACGAGGATCGAGGATAGGCCGACTATATCGGATAGCTCCAATACGAGAGAACGAAATAAAAAAATCTCAGGCAGCTGTTTTTGATCGGATCGACTTGATTTCTTCCAGATGGCATTTTCTAACTGCTATTGAATTTCGGATTGAATTTTATCAAAATCAGATAACTTTGTCATATAGCTGCCATAGGAGAGATCAAAATATATATATATAAATAATGGAAAAAAATTATAACGTCGTTGTTTTTAATCCCACGAGCATGATTTTTGGAATATCAAGTTGTTTAAATACTCTGAAATCGAGAAAAAAATTTCATAAAAATCAGAGTACTATATCATATAGCTGCCATAGGAAAGATCGAAAAATCTATATAGAAATAACGGAAATAAAATGATTACCTCGTTGTTTTCCATCAGACAATCATGATTTTTTGAGTATAGAGTTTTCTAATGAGTCTTGAGTTTCAAATTAAATTGCATCAAAATCGGACGACTATATCATATAGGTGTCATATGAACAATATGGAAAATGAATAGAAGAATCGTCATAGCTTCGATGTTGTTTAGCCTTTATGTATTTTGTTCGACATATTTAATGACTGCAAGGGTATATAAGCTTCGGCTTGCCGAAGCTAGCTTCCTTTCTTGTTTTATAATGATCTTATTACACAAACATTTCGGTCCTTAACAACAAAATACAAAATTGTGTGTTATTTTTTATGTTCCCTTTACCTAGGTTAAGCTGTTGCTCCTGGGCGCTGGCGAGTCTGGCAAATCTACTTTCTTGAAACAGATGCGTATAATTCATGGGGTTAATTTTGAATATGAGCTTCTGCGCGAATACCAAAATGTGATATATCAAAATGTTGTAAGAGGTTAGTAGTATTTTGTGAAGCAAGGATAATTTCGTTTTATAAATTTTACGTTTTAGGTATGCAAGTCTTGTTGGACGCTCGTGAAAAACTGGATATCTCGTGGGGAAACGATGGACGAGAACAGGATGCCAACGATGCCAAATTAATGGAATGCAATGCTATAGAGTCACCCAAATTTCGAGAATATGCACCACAAATAAGGCGCCTTTGGCAGGATCGCGGCATTAGAAGAGCTTTTGAAAGGAGACGTGAATTTCAAATTGTATGCACTCTTCATATTGCAGAAAAAACGGGTATTACATTTCGACCATTATTTTTTCAGAGCGATTCTGTTAGCTATTTTTTAGACGAAATCGAGCGACTAGCTAAACCAGATTATGTCCCAACACATAAAGATATATTGTACTGCCGCAAAGCAACTAAAGGTGTATATGAATTTTGTGTCAAAGTACAGGTAAACGAATTAAACAAAAAAAACATGCGATTTACACCTAAGATTTGGGGATTTATAGAACATTCCATTTGTGTTCGTCGATGTGGGTGGACAGCGGACGCAACGTCAAAAATGGACTAGATGTTTTGATAGCTCTGTTACGTCGATTATATTTCTGGTCTCTAGTTCAGAATTCGACCAGGTGCTTGCCGAGGATAGGTAAATCATTGACTAAATGTTTAAAACAAGGAAAAAGTTAAAAGTTACCGTTACAGAAAGACCAATCGTCTGGAAGAATCAAAGAATATCTTTGATACAATTGTCAACAACAACACATTCAAAGGAATATCAATTATTTTATTTTTAAACAAAACCGACTTGCTCGAACAGAAAGTTCGCAATCCTGAGACTGACGTTCGCTGGTATTATCCACAGTTCAACGGCAACCCACACTCTGTTTTGGATGTCCAGAACTTCATACTTCAAATGTTTATGAGCATACGTCGCAGTAGCAGTACCAATAGAATTTATCATCATTTTACCACTGCCATAGATACACGTAACATTAATGTTGTTTTTAATTCGGTAAAGGACACAATACTACAACGCAACTTAAATGCTCTTATGCTGCAGTAGCTTTTTTTCCAACTTTGGTAAACTTTCAGTAATAGTATATACAAACTTGTAATAGTTTTTTTTTTTTGTGTACATCCTTAAGACACAAAAATGAAAGGTGCCAACACCGTTTTTTTAGGTCCAATCAAACAGAAGGTTTGCAATACTGAGACTGAAATTCGGTGTAATTATCCGCAGTTTTATGGCGATCTCTATCCCGATTTATCTGCCAAACACTTTATTTAAAAAATATCTGTGACAGTTCGTGGCAGCAGAAAGAGTAGCATATATGTAGTAACACCTATGCCACAAATAAGCACAGCATGTATGTGGTGTTAAGCTAGGTAATTGGTACAATACAGTAAAATCTTTACGCACTATTGCTTACATAAATGCATGTAAACATATTATAAAATAAAAGTGATTGACGTTTTTGTAATATACACATCCACAAACTTAAACTGAAACATTTGCCAGGTAACTTAGATTTAATAAGAAGCCCAAATTGTTATTATCTTTATAAATTGGTTACATTATTTGTGACTAAATAAAATAATAAGATGTTTTTATTTTTTAAGAAAAAATATTATACTAGCCATAAGAATGGACCGACTTGTGTAGACCCTAAGATCATTTGGCTGCTTTGAAAATTCGTAAGTTACCAAAATGTCTTTAAAATAAAAAGCCGAAATTTTGAATATTCTAGATTAATGTTCACTTACGTGAACCATTGTGACCGTAAAGTGGAAATGGAAAATAAACACAGTCATATCAGATAGATATATCACTCATATAAACCGAAAAGCCCGCAAAATTAAATTCGAATTCTTTTTAAACATTTTTCAATCGCGATTTCTCTGTTATAAAGAGTCTTGAAATTCACTTCAAAATGTGTTCTTCATGTTGAAGAGAACTGGATATAATTTTTTTTTTATTTGGCCCCATTACGTTTTTTTTCTATTTCGTTTTGTTTCTGATCACGTAATAGCCCCAATTCAGAGAATTATTTTGTCTCGTTCTCACTAACGTGAACCATTGTTACCGAATAGTTAGGCTTCGGCCAAGCATTGAGAGATGAGCGACTGAGCGACGATCTCTCGAGCGACGTTAATGAGCGATCGCTTTGAGGGAGGTGACCACGCACTGAGCGACATCACTCGAGTTGATTAAGTTGTAAAAATACCTTATTCTAGTAGGTTTGGCGTTCATCCCATAAATCGATCGAGAAATGAGTATGGCGAGTTTCATCACTTATATAGAAATCTTCGAAACCATCCAGATCGATTTTGGCAATACTTACGCATGTCAATCAATTCATTTGACTTGCTGTTAAGTACAATTAAAAATGAAATTAGTAAACCGAGATCAACAATTTCTGCTGAAGAACGATTGGTTTTATTATTAAGGTAAGTGTATGTAAGTGTTGGTAAGTTAATAAGTATAGTAGTAGTAATAGTAATATTATAGTAAGTATAATTATGGTGATAACATAAGTAGTAGTTTAATGTAATATTTTTTCCTTATTTGTAAGCTTAGCAATTATTATATTTTGTATTTCATTTCTAATTTCCAACTTTTCGATGTCGGTAAATTTTTCAAAAAAAGGCAAAAGTGATTTAAAAAATAAATCTACGTTTTTGTTTTCTTCATCAGTTTCTTTTCCGATTTGATTTTTTAACATTTCCAGTCGCTCTTTTTCTTTATTCAAGAATTCGGTTTCCATATTAACTTTTCTTTTTCTGGGCGTAGATTTTGCGACTATACTTGTAGATGGTGTTGACATCACAGACATGTTGCTTCCGTCATCCTGAAACATATCTGAAAGCAAGTAGTTCATGCTTTCATCGTCCTCCTGCAAATTGCCCTCAGTCGGATCTGGAGCAACTGTCTTTTTTAAAAAAGACATCAGCTCCAAGTAGGGCCATTTAACATTAAATGATTGAGCTTCGGATCCTGATGGTAGGCGTGGTAGTTTTTGCAATGTCCTTCTATATATATCCTTTAAATTTTTCCATTTGGCCTTTGCTGCAGCTCCTAAAAATTAGATTTTATATATATGTATATTGTTCATAACAATTAATTTTTAATAATAATTTTATTTTATTTTGTATTAGTTTTATTTTGTTAAGCTCATATTTTTATTTTTAGGTACCTTGCTACAGGTCATTCATTTCGTGACTTGGCATTTGCTTTTCGATTGGAAAGAAGCACTGTTAGCAACATTATAAGCGAAACAAGCATTTTTATTTGGAAATCACTCTTAAAGGAATACATGCCAACACCAACAACTGATATTTTTTTTTTTTTACGCGCGTAGTCCCACGGCCCACAATCCCGCCCAACCGACCGAGGGGCGACCGCCGTGTAACGTACGGCACGATTCGCGATAAATTTTGACGCGATTTTTAAAAAAAAAAAAAAATTAAAAAACGAAAGGTGAGGAAAGAAAGTTAAATGTTATTTTAATTTTAAATTTAACGATCTAATTTTGTGCCAGAAATGTTAGTATCAGTGGCGGATTTACCATATAGGCAACATAGGCAGCTGCCTAGGGCGGCAAATTTTTAGGGGCGGCAAATTTCGACTGTTAACACTACATAAAATACTACTTTTGAAAATTAGGCTGCAGTCTAGGGCGGCAAAATCAAAACTGCCTAGGGCGGCAAATTGTCTTAATCCGCCCCTGGTTAGTATTGATCTTTTTAGGAGTTCCAGAGAGTCAGAAGAAGATACTATAGAATACAGTCTATTATAGTCTGAACAAAGTACCCTGAAAGGCTCATGCACGTCGTAATTAGATCTACAAAGATTTAAAACTAAAGGAGCATAATTTCTAGTAATTCTACTTGGTACTGAGAAATTTAGTCTACTCAGCAAGTAAGGACAGTCAATTTCACCACGTATAAGGTTATGAATAAATACAGTACCAAGCATCGTTCTACGGTTAGTAAGGGAGGGCAAGTTAATGAGGAGCAATCTATGAGAATATGAGGGTAGGAATAGGTTTGCATTCCAATTTAGGCGGCGTAGGGCAAAAATTAAAAAGTTTTTTTGTACTGATTCTATGCGATCAGCATGTACTCCGTATTGAGGACTCCAAACGGGTGCCCCATACTCAAGGATTGGCCGGACCAACGACATAAATAAAGCCTTGGTAACGTAAGGATCCTCAAATTCCTTCGACCATCGTTTAATAAATCCAAGCATTCCCCTAGCTTTATTAACCATGTTCAAAATATAAGAGGAGAATTTAAGTTTGGGGTCCAATTGGACGCCAAGATCGTCAACAAGCGCTATTCTTTCCAAGGCACCACCACTTAGTGAATAGGTGACATTTTGTGGATTGACCCGACAAAACGTCATCAGCTTGCATTTAGAGCTGTTTAATTTCAGTAAAGTTTCGTTACACCAGTTTTAAAATGGTTAAGGTCTGCTTGAAGGTTTAAGTGACGGGAGTAATCATTATACTGCAGACACAGTTTTACATCGTCCGCGTACATAAGTACGCGGGAATGCGCAATGATCGATGGAAGATCATTGATAAACAAGGTAAAAAGTAATGGTCCCAGATGGCTTCCTTGTGGTACACCAGAGGTAACTCTGAGGAGACCACTTAAGGAATTTTTGAAAAGGACTCTTTGCGTTCGGCCACTGAGATTACTAAAGATCCAACTAAAAAAGATCTGCTTAAAACCCCATCATGTCAAGTTTGCGAATCATTAGAAAGTGATTTACAGAGTCAAATGCTTTACTGAAGTCTGTGTAAATGACATCAGTTTGGAAATTATTTTTAAAGCCATCTATCACGAAGGATGTGAGCTCTAAAAGATTTGTTGTGGTAGACCTGCGTTTCATAAATCCGTGTTGGCATGGAGATATGATTGATCTACAAAAGTGCTGCAAGTGGGGGGTTACTGCACGTTCGAAAAGCTTTGGAATTGCTGACAATTTAGAAATACCTCTATAATTGCAAGCATCCGACTTGCTTCTCTTTTTATGAAGGGGAATAACTGACAAGTTTGTAGGGATAGGGTAAACAGCTTGAGAAGGGGTTTACACAATGCATTTGCACAGTGTTTAAGAACGCGCCCAGGAATCCCGTCAGGACCTGGGGAATAAACTGGTGTAACACGTTGAAGATCCAAAAGTAGGGAGCTTTCGTTTAAGGATGGACGAAATATTAGGTTCGACTTAGGTATTGCGTATAAATATTGCTCACTTGAATGAGACACTGTTGAGTAAGTTGTTTGAAAGAATTGGGCAAACAGATCGGCTATTGCCTGATCAGTGTTAGCCGTCCTACTTTCAAACGAAAGCGAAGGCGGAAAGGAACATGATCTGCGCTTAGTGTTGACAAAATTATAGAACTGTTTGGGATCCCGTAAAAACTGGGACCTGCAACGGACTAAATAATTCTTGTAACACTGAGCGTTAAGCACGGTAAAGTTTGATCGAGCTCTTAAGTATTTTCCAAAAACAGACTGACAACCTGAAATTTTATATCTTCTCTATATATATAAAAATGGAGACAAAATATGTGCGCAATCGCAACACATGAAAACGGCTTGACCGATTTGGCTGAAAATTGGTAGGGAGATAGCTTAGAACCAGAAGAAGGTTTTAGCATAAGAAAATTTTGGGAAAACCTTCTGGAAAAGTCGCTAGCGGCTCAAAAGATGTACACAATGTTGTATGTAAAAAAAAAGATCATAGCTGCGTTGATTTTGTGTATCGATGAAGTCGGTAAAAAATATTTAAACAAAAAATAGAGCGAGCTTAAACAATTTGAAATAATGCCTGCTGTTAGACGAATAGGACTTGGGCGGCGTTCGTGTAATGCAATAAATAGTCAGAATTTCCGTAATAGTCGGACGCAAGAGGAACGTGCAGAAATAAATGCATCGACACGTGCCCGAATGGCACAGCTTCGCGCTGCACAAACCCCACCTCAAGCCCAACAAAACAATAGAGGAAGACGGACCGCATATGAAAACTTGAATCGCGCTGCATTCGCATACAATCCGGAAACACCCTACAAAGATCATAGCTGCGTTGTTATTGGTTCATTGTCTGTCGTACGTCAGCATTGCAATGCACTGAAGTTTCGATTGGAAACCCCCGGCTTATGCTGTGCAGGTGGCAAAATTAAATTGCCCGTTTTGGCTCATCCACCAGAGCCATTATATTCGCTACTATATGAAATTCAGCTCAATCAAACTGTTTCCTAAAGCTTGCACAAAAATATAACGGATGCTTTCAAATGACGTCATTTGGAGCCGAGGTTGTTCATCAACCAGGCTACAATCCAAGTTATAAGGTAATGGCGTCTCTCTTTTATCAATATGAACAAATCCAATTTTTTTTTAAAATTGCATCCCAACATTCAGATTCAAGGACAAATTCACCACCGAGCGGGCGCTTTGTTACCACCACAAAACAAAGATCATAAATTCCTTCAGATCTATTTCATTGGTGATTCGGCAATTGAACTAAATCACCGCTGTGCAATTTTTACTGCAACTAAACGTGAAATTATCGAACAATTGCAAAATCTTCTCCATGAGCATAATGAATTGGTCAGATTGTTCAAAACCGCATTGGATATAATGCATTATGACGAACACAAAATCATTATCAGCGCTGACAAAAGACCCACAGGTAGCCATGCAAGACAATTTAATGCTCCCACTATCAATGAAGTCGCAGTGGTGATTGTTGGCGAGAATGTGGAATCACGCGATATTGTTCTTAAGCGTCGGGATGATGGCCAATTGCAGCGAGTTTATGAGACTCATCGGTCATATGATGCTCTTCAATACCCGTTGATGTTCTGTCGTGGAGAAGATGGTTATCACTTCAACATAAAGATGGTTAATCCAATGACAGGTTTGTTTACAAATTATCACTTCTTTTTGATTCTCTAACTAGGTTTGAATTAAAACTTTAGGAGAAGAAACGAATAAGAAGGTCAGCTCTATGAATTTGTATGCGTATCGATTGATGATTCGACTAGATGTTGACAATCATCTGTTAAGATACCGCCGTTTGTTTCAACAGTACTGTGTCGACATGTACGTCAAAGTAGAAACGGAACGTCTCAATTTTATTCGTTTTAATCAGTCGAAGTTGCGCTCAGACGAGTACATCCACTTGCGTGACGCCATCGCTACTGAAGGACACGCGGCCAACATCGGTTGTTTGACCATTCTCCCAGCTACTTATGTTGGAAGCCCGCATGAGGCATGAGTGTGCTCAAGATGCGATGACGAATGTCCGGAATTACGGGCGCCCGGATTTATTCATCACGTTCACGTGCAATCCGAAATGGCCCGAAATTACCAATCTGTTGCTTCCAGGACAAGCATCCAGCGATCGACCGGACATCACTGCACGAGTATTCAAGCAAAAGATCACAGTACTTATGGATTACATTGTGAAGCAGAAGGTTTTCGGCACAGTTCGTTGTTGGATGTACTCGGTTGAGTGGCAGAAGCGTGGTTTACCACATGCGCACATTCTGCTCTGGATGTTCGACAAGATCAGACCAGATCATATTGATTCGATTATTTCAGCTGAAATACCAGATAAACAAACTGATTCCGAGCTGTATTCCATTGTGACAACGAGCATGATCCATGGCCCTTGCGGTGTCCACAACCCAAAATTAGTATGCATGGAAAACGGAAACTGCACAAAACGATTTCCCCGTCCGTTTACGGGTGAAACAATCAGTGGAAACGCTGGATATCCATTGTATAGGCGTCGTTCTCCAGATGATAACGGCAAATGGATCGAACTAATGGTGAAACGTAACGAAACAAACGTAACAGTAATCGTGGATAACCGCTGGATCGTTCCATATTGCCCGCTTTTATCGAAAACGTTCTCAACGCATTGCAATGTTGAGTACTGCAACTCTATCAAATCCATCAAATACGTTTGCAAATATGTGAACAAAGGGAGCGACATGGCGGTGTTCGGCATTGCTGATCCGAATGCAAACGACGAGATGACGAAATTTCAACTTGGGCGCTACGTTAGTTGTAACGAGGCCATTTGGCGGATATTTTCATTTCCGATTCATGAACGTCACCCGACTGAACGTTACCCGACTTATCTGTTCACTTGGAGAACGGCCAGCGTGTCTACTTTACGGAAGTGAACGCAGCGCAAAGAGCAGAACGGCCACCAGCGACAACGTTGACAAATTTCTTTTCGACATGCGAAAGCGATCCGTTCGCAAGGACTTTACTCTATTCTGAGATGCCACGCTATTATACATGGAACGCTGCATCGAAGAAGTTTCAACGCCGGAAGAGAGGTGATACTGTTGCTGGCTTCGCTGATGTCTATTCGACAGATGCGCTCGGACGAATATACACAGTTCATCCACGTCAAGATGAATGCTTCTATCTTCGCTTGCTTTTGGTGAACATTAGAGGCCCTACATCCTTCGAGACGCTGCGTACTGTGAATGGTGTGCTGTGCGCCACTTTTCGGGAGGCTTGCCAACGTTTGAACTTGCTCGAAAACGACGCTCATTGGGACTCAACGCTCGCCGATGCCACGGTTTCTGCGTCAATGAATCAAATCCACACATTATTCGCAATAATCATAGCTTTGTGTCATCCGTCGAACCCGACCGCATTGTGGGACAAATACAAGGACCAAATGGTGGACGATATTTTGAACAGAGTGCGCAGGACAAGTTCTAATTTCAATCTTGGCATTAACGAAGATATGTACAACGAAGCATTAGTACGGATCGAAGACATGTGCATGCTCATGTGCGGCAGTCTACTATCGACATTGGGAATGCCAGCGCCAAATCGTTCAGTGCACGATACTTTCAATCGCGAATTTCAACGGGAGCAACACTACAATCACAATAACTTGGCCGAAAGAGTTCGAACAAATGTGCCGCTTTTGAATGCCGAGCAGAAGAAAGCAGGGACCGCAAATAATTCTTATGAGTTTAAAAAATTGAAGCCCAAAACAGTCTCCAAAAAAATTGGTAAAAATTCAAAAACAAGATAAATGTTTTTTTTCAATTTTTACGAAAAAAATTGATTTTTAATACTTAAAATTAATTTTAATAATAAAAAATTAGTAATAATTATTAAGTATCAATTTTTATATAAAAATTACGCAATAACTTTTATTTTCAATTTTTATTATATAAATTGAAAAATAAAAATTATTCAATAACTTTTATTTTAAAAATTGGAAATAAAGATTGAATCTATATATATATACATACTTATTATATACCATCTGAAAGGTATTGATGTGTAGATCATATATATGCATATGCATATGCAATATGCATTGGATCTGGCTTCTACGGATCAAAAGATATATTAGATATATATATATATATATATAGAAATAACTTTTATTTTGTAATTTTTTGCTTTTTTAATTATAACCGTTACAGTCCCTGGAAGAAAGTGTACGATTCGATAATGAAGGTTGTTGACGATGAAACGGGAGGCTTATACTTTATCGATGCTCCTGGTGGGACAGGCAAGACATTCGTCATTTCGTTGATTCTGGTAACGATTCGGTCAAGATCTCAAATTGCGTTGGCTGTTGCATCATCTGGCATTGCTGCTACATTGTTGGAAGGCGGTCGAACTGCACATTCCGCTTTGAAGATACCCATGAATCTTCTGACGGTTGACTAGCCAACGTCCACGATGAGCAAGAATTCAGCGACAGCGAAATTGATGCGAGAATGCAAAATCATCATTTGGGATGAATGCACGATGGCGCATAAACGAGCTTTGGAGGCAGTTGACCGAACGATGAAGGATTTACGAGGTGATTCGAAACTATTTGGTGGGGCTTTGATATTGCTGTCCGGAGATTTTCGTCAAACGCTTCCCGTCATCCCGAGATCTACAGCTTCCGATGAAGTTAATGCATGCCTAAAATCGTCCTCTTTGTGGCGATATGTCAAGAAGTTTAAATTGACCACGAACATGAGAGTCGCATTGCAGAATGACCCATCCGCTGCTGAATTCTCGGGACAACTGCTGGCGCTCGGCAATGGTGAAATTCCTGTTGATGTTTCGACTGGACTAATATCGTTCCCAGCTAATTTTTGCAAGTTCACATCATCGAAAGAGGAACTCATCACAAAAGTGTTTCCCGACATTGCACAAAATTATAAAAATATCGATTGGATTAGTGAACGGGCAATACTAGCACCAAAGAATAAGGATGTAGATAGTTTAAGTTTCGTTATTCAAAGTCAAATCGCTGGAGAACTGCATTCATACAGATCCGTTGACAGCGTGATCGACGAGGATGAAGCGACCAACTATCCGACAGAATTTTTGAACTCACTGGATGTGCCAGGAACTCCGCCGCATAATTTGCAACTGAAATTGGGATCAGTTATTATAATGCTGCGGAATCTTAATCATCCGAGATTATGCAACGGTACGCGGTTGTCCGTTAAGAAACTAATGAACAATTTGATTCAAGCGACGATCATCAAAGGTAAATTTAAAGGAGAGGAAGTTCTTATCCCAAGAATTCCGATTATTCCATCGGATCTTCCCTTCAAATTTAAGAGGATTCAGTTCCCAGTTCGATTGGCATTTGCGATGACAATCAATAAATCGCAAGGCCAGTCGTTGGAAGTCTGCGGGATAAATCTGGAAAATCAATGTTTTTCACATCGACAGTTATACGTAGCCTGTTCGCGCGTCGGGAAGTCGTCATCATTATTTATTTTTGCACCGGATAACAAAACAAAAAATATTGTTTATCACATCGCTCTCCAATGATTTCGAGTCAAAAAAATTTCACAAAAAAATTGAATTCAAGTGTTCTATTATTACTCTGGGGTTATATGAAATCGTGAAATTGGGGCGAGACAAAGTTCGCCGGGTCCGCTAGTTTTTTATAAAGTCTGAACTTTAAATTCCTAAGGTGTGTCAACTCTTTGCTAAACCAAGGTGGTTTATGGGATGTTGACGGGTTATATAGCGGAACACACAAGATAAAAAACAGTTTGATTGCCGAATAAAAAATTGTAATGGCGTCTTCCATATTATTGCAGGAATAGAGATCGGACCAGTCATTGCCAGATATAAGATGATTAAGTCTCAGAAAGTTAGCCTTGCGAAAAAAATGAATTCGCTTGGCTGGCTTTATAGCATTATTTTTAACTGTTATACCAGTGTCGATAGTCACCTCGAAAGCAGGGTGATATGGATCTTCAGGCAGCGTAAGTGGAGTTGCTCTAGAGAGAACAACACTTTCAGGATTTGAGACGAGGCACAAATCAAGTAAGCGATCTAAAGAATTTCGAACATGGTTTACCTGACACAGAGGTATGTCAAGTAGACCGTCAATGAAATCATTTTAACCTATGGGTTGTAAAGCGTTGGAAGTTTCCAAACTGTCTGGGTAGCATTGACGGAAAACATTGCCAGATTAAGTGCCCAGCTCATAGTGGATCACATTGTTTCAATTATTTGCATTATTTTTCAATTGTTTTGCAAGGAGTAGCAGATGCTGACAAAAAATGTATAACCATTGAAGTGGGTGGCAGAGGAAAGCGAAGTGATGGTCCACTTTGTTTAGATTTCTGGAAGCAGGCAAATTCAATGTTCCACCATCACAAGCACTACCAGGCTCACATATCATTTTGCCAAACTTTTTAATTGGAGATAAAGCCTACCCACTGAAAAATTATTTAATGAGGCCATATCCTCGAAAAAAGTTAAATGCAAAAACTGAAAAGTTCAATGAAAGATTACACAGCCACACAAAAAAAAATATTTTTTCGGGCCTGGAGGTCAGACCATGTTTACTATATGTTTTCGGGGTCGCTGAATCCGAATCCGAGGTCCAAAAAATCCCAGCACGTCAGGGTTCTGACATAACCTCAAAAAACCTCATACAAAATTATATTCGAGTCCGTGGGTCAGACCATGTTTATTATATGTTTTCATGGTCGCTGAATCCGAATCCGAGGTCTAAAAAACTCCAGAATGTCAGGGTTACGACATAACCTCAAAAACTTGATAAAATTTTTATTTTCCGAGTTCTGGGATCAGACCATGTTTACCATATGTTTTAGGGGTCGCTGAATCCGAATCCGTTGTCTAAAAAACTCCAGGTTTTTTTGATGTTATGTCGTAACCCTGACATTCTGGAGTTTTTTAGACCTCAGATTCGGATTCAGCGACCCTGAAAACATATAATAAACATGGTCTGACCCACGGACTCGAATATAATTTTGTATGAGGTTTTTTGAGGTTATGTCAGAACCCTGACGTGCTGGGGTTTTTTGGACCTCGGATTCGGATTCAGCGACCCCGAAAACATATAGTAAACATGGTCTGACCTCCAGGCCCGAAAATATTTTTTTTTGTGTGGCTGTGTTATCAATCGCCAGGA